GCTGGTGATAGGGAACCCAAGGTTGAGTAAGGATATTGTTGATGTGTTGTGAGATTATTAACCATTGTCATAGGGCAACATTTGTAGTAACTGTAAAATGAGAAACTATTTTGTTCTGTAAGCCTTCATCTTAAGTGAGAATAACAGCACAATTGGAAAAGCACAGTCAATGTCACTGAACTATGCATGTAGAAATTTTTGAAATGGTGTATCTTTGGCTATGTGTATTTTCACCAAAAAAAAAAATTTGAGAAGTTAGAGGGTTGACATGTTGTGGGGTTGTGAACCAATGTCATAAAACAATATGTGGACTACTGTTTCATGAGAAACTATTTATTCTGTCAGCCTTCACCTGAAGTACAAAAAAAAAAAAAAAATCTCTGCTTGAGTTTGTTTTATATATAGTCTTTTACATTTTTTTCTACATATCTACAATTTTCCTACAATATTTTAAAAAACATGTATCACTTTTGCCATAAGAAAAAAGCAAAGCCATTTTCATTTTGAAAAACACACATACTCTTTATTAAGCCCCTTTACATTCAATGACTCAGGTTTTTACAACAACCTTGGAAGCTGCCAGATCTGAAGTACCACGACCATCTCACAGATGAACACACTGGGCCTCAGATATGTAACCCTGATCTCCTGACTCTGGGTTGGTGTTCTCCCACCCAAGCAGTTGCTCCAAGCTCAGAGGAATGTGGCAAGTCAGTTGTCAGCTTTGGGCAAAAAAAATCTGTCAGTTGAGGAGTCTCATTATTCTAGCTCAAAACCACAGGATGAAAGAAAAGCCTTCTTTCTCAATAATAAGTCCCCAGTTACTTACTCTCAGATAAGCAACAGCAATAGGGGAACAAGGTTCAAAGACAAAGCACTCAGAATAATTCATGCTACACCGCCTCCCCCTGGTGGTAGGCTCTGGAATCTAAAATTGGCCTGATAACAAAACCCATTGCCATTGAGTCGATTCTGACTCATAGCAACCCTACAGGACACAGTAGAACTGCCCTTACAGAGTTTCCAAGGAGCACCTGGTGGATTCGAACTGTCAACCTTTCGGTTAGCAGCCGTAGCACTTAACCACTACGCCACCAGGATAAGAATGGTTTTTCAACATTACCCTATTTCTATAAATCATCAAAGCTACTCTGTCTTTTTTCAAGGAGTCAGGTATTGACACAAATACATGAAACCAGGACCTGGGGTTAACCAGGCTCAGTGCTGCAGATGACGCCAAGGGTGATAGCAATTCTGCAGCGCTGCTCTTTACCTCCTGTCCTTTCCTTCCTCACCACTTCTGCTGCTGTTGCTTCTGCCCCCAGTGTTCTTCAGTTTTCTCTCTGCATCCATCCACTTTCCTGAGCCTCAGGGAAGGGCAAGGGGTGGCCCATGTAAACCCAGCCATGACCTGGCACGGAGAAGCCTCAAAGTCAGAAACACCTAGCACCAATCGTCCCAGGAGCCAGTCTTTAGGTTCTAGGCATCGATATTCCAAGTATGTCATGGTGCAATACTGACATTCCTTTAGAAATATCAGAATGCAGCAATGTCAGTCTTCAACTGTGCTCCCCCAGGTCTCCAGATCAACACACAGCTTCCTTACGCTTCCAGAAAGAAGGAAACATTCAATAGGATATCTGGAATAGGGAGGGAGAAAAATCCTGGCTATGGCATACCACCTGTCCAGAGGACACAGAATGTCAGATTTATAAAAGACACAGAGGCTGTGAGAGCCTCTTTAAATGCTTCCAGAAATGTGGGACACAGAGAAGGATAGGAGAGGAGAGATCGTGGGATAAACGAAAACCAGTACCTTGCACAAGGTCTTGTTCATCTTCTGAAATTTGGTCCCAGGCCTTAGGCAAAGCTTGGATGTTTGCCAAGTCTCCCCAGTGGATTGAGGAGAGAAGGTACTTTCTCTTCAGGTACCTTCCTGGAAGTTAAGGACTAGTCAAAAAGAAAATTAAACATGTTGACGAAAAAAATACCCTAGTGAGAGCCTAACCCATTTCCCCCAAGTTGATTTCAATTCATAGAGACCCTACAGGACACTGCAGAACTGCCCCATAAGGTTCCCTAGGCCGTAAATCTTTACGAAGGTAGACTGCCACATCTTTCTTCTGCAGAGTGGCTAGTGGTTTTGAACTGCCGACATTTCAGTTAGCAGCCGAGTGCTTAACCACTGTGCAACCAGATAGTCTAGGGAGCTATAAAAGTGAAAGTGCAGCTATCATTATATATTACCAGGTGGGCAGGATTCGCCTGGCAAATATTCACACGTTTACTAGCACTTCTTTACTCAGATGGCTCTGTGCTACAGGAAGAGGAATGAAACACTATCCCTGCAATCTAGAAGCCCCCCAGGGTGAGGAAGAAAACCAGAAACTGGAAAGAAAGAACCTAAGTGACATGAGAGATAAAGCGGACATTCAAAGGATAAATACATCCAGTTAGGAAGTAGCAGGGAGCTTCCAGCTGATAGGAAAAGCATATAAGCAAAGGTGCAGAAGGAGGGAAGCATGGGATGAATCCAGGGAAAAGTAAATCTCCCAGTTTTGCTGGCATGGAGGCAGTGTGTAGAGAACAGTAGGAAAGTCCGCTGAAAAGGAAAGCTGAGCCACAAAGAGTGACAAGGTAGGGATTCTAAACTTTATCCTACTAGCAACAAAAGCTATTGAGAATTTCTATGTCTGCCAACATGATTAGAACTAGACTTCCAGAAGATACATGGATTGAGACCATTAACTGGGGACAGGAAGAAGACAGCTTGGAGGGGAAGAAGCTAGAGACAGGGAAACCTGTCCAAGAGGCTACACACAGTTAAGAGTCCAGGTGAGAGGTAAGAAACTGCAGAAGTGGCACTGGGGATAGAGAGGATGGAGAAGACAAGAAGCACATTCTGTGTCCTCTAGACAGGTGGTATGCCATAGCCAGGATTTTTCTCTCTCCCTATTCCAGATATCCTATTGAATGTTTCCTTCCTTCTGGAAGAGTAAGGAAGTTGTGTGTTGACCTGGCGACCAGGGGGAGCACAGCTGAAGGGAAACACAATTAAAGGACTTGACAAGCAACTGTAAACATTCTTAGAACAGTGCCTGGCATGTAGCAAGTGCTCAAAAATGTTAGCTGCAGCTACTGCTCCTTCTGCTCATGTTGTTGCTGCTGCTACTTCTACCACCACTACTACTGCAATTAAAAAAGAAAGCAAAGATGGGAAGCGGAAAGACGATCCTTGTTTCCAGACTGGGTGATTAGACAGGGCTGATTCTACACTAAAGGAAAAGGGGGCTGAATTTGAGGGCTAGATGGAGTAGTTCAATTTTAAACTTGAGTTTGCCATTCCAGTGAGAGATCCAGATGGAGGCAACTACAGGAAATGGGAAATCAAGACTAGAGACAAGATGAAATGTTGGGGTTTGGGAGTCACTCACATAAAGGTAGAAACTAAAGCCAGAGAGTAGATGAGGACATCAGAGAAGAATTGAGAATAAAGCTAGAACTCCAAGTGGTTCTTTCATAAAATCCTCCTCTTCTCATTGAGGAAAAGCATACACACCATTCAGACTGCAATACCCTCCTAACTGGTCTTTCTGCTTCCACCCTTGCCCCCCACCCCAAGTCTTTCCTCAAAACACAGCCAGGGTGATACTATTCAAAACGTAGGTCTGATCATGTCACTCTTCTGCTCAAAACCTTGTAATCAGTTTCCATCTCTCTCAGAGAAAAAGCCAAATTTTTTTCAATGCCCTTTGAGCCCCTACATTGTCTAGCTGTATCTCTGACTTCACCTCTTATTAGGCTACCCCTCATCACTCTGATCTGGCTGCACTGGCCTCCTTGCTATTTCCTGAACGTAACAGGCATGTTCTCATCTCAGGGCCTTTGCATTTGATGTTCCCTCTGCTTGGAACACTCTTCCCCCACATATCTACATGGTTTCCTCCCTAACCTTCTTCAGGTCTTTGCTCAAATGTCACTTTCTCGGTGAGGACTGCCCTAACCACCTTATTTAAAATCACAATCCCACCCTTACCCTTCAATTTCCTCTTTCCCAGCTTTTTCTCCATAGCATTTATCACCTTCTGACATACTATGTATTTTCCTTTTTTGTTTAATGTTCCTGGCACCTAGAACAGTGCCTGGCAGGTAGGTACTCAATACTATTTGAGGAATGATTGTACTAAGGAATGTAGAAGGAATACAAGTTCAGGAACCAAAGAGAACTGAACCAAACTATTTAGTTTTCTAATCTTGTGAAAACTGAAATTAAAAGAACTTCTTAGAACAGCTCTGGATACTATCTAAAATTATGCAAAGGATACGAATTTCGATAATGTCTCTCAATATCTTGCAACCATTCCAACATGTCAGCCAGAGAGGGGCTCACAACTGAAGGCTGCAGGACAGCATCAATGTCAACTGTGTTTGCATGCTGCTCATAGACCTGAAACACTTGCTCCACATGGCTGCTGACCGTGTCACGCACCTTGAGGAGGCTGGCTCTGTGGGGAAAGAGCAATATCATGAGAAAGGTCTGAGGCTGGGTTTCTCAATGTTGGCACTATTTACATTTTGGACTGGATAATTCTTTTTGTGGGGGGCTGTCCTGTGCATTGTAACAGCATCCCTGGCCTCTACCCACTAGGTGCCAGGAGCAAAGCACCACCACCCAAGCTGTGACAATCAAAAATGTCTCCAGACACTACCAAATGTCCTCTGGAGGGAAAAATAACCCCTATTTGAGAGCCACTGGTTTAAAGACAGTAGTGATGGTGCCCTGGAGGTAAGGATGACTCAGTAATCAAAAAGTCACTTAGAGATGGAGAGGCTGAAGAAGTAATATGGCTCTCACAGCTGTGTGATAAGCCCAGTTGCCAAAGAAAGTAAAGACCAAGGGGCCTGCCTACCTGAGGCTGCAATAAAACTGCGTAAAGAGAGCAAATGCTCATAGTCCCATGCCACGGATGTGAAAAGGGAACAAGCAAGAGGAAACTGAAACAAAAAACCAATACTATCCACATGCTACCCAGCCCCAGCCAGGAAATTTTTGAATGGTAGAGTCTGAGCTCTGGATGCACATAGACTCCTGTGGACCTTAGGAAATTTACTTATCCTTTCTCATGTATAAAAATGTTCTGTTTTGCTCATTACATATCCTCAGTATGCAGAACAGTACCTAGGTACCTAGTCTTAAGCACATAGAATAATAAAGACTTGTTTAATGAATGAATAAACAAAAAGGGTCATTGTGAAAATTAAGTGCATTTAAAATGCTTAGAGCCGTGCCTAAGAAGTCCCTGGGTGGCACAAAATGGTTAAGTGCTTGACTACTAGCTGAAAGGCTGGCGGTTTGAATCCACCTGGAGGCACCTTGGAAGACAGGCTTGGCGATCAGCTTCTGAAAGGTCATAGCCTTGAAAACTCTATGGAGCAGTTCTACTCCGCACACATGGGGCTGTCACTGAGTCGAAACTGACTTGACAGCAACTAACAACAGAGCAGTGCCTACCTTATGGCAAATGTTATTATTCCATTGGTGACTCCAAGGGGCCCAGCCACCAACACAAAGGCTACAACTTCCCAAAAAGCACGGTATTCACTAGCCCAGAACTGGGGCTTTCAAAAAAGTTTGACCATGACTTACAATTATAAAAAAACACATTTAAAATAACTACCCAGTACCCTCACACAAATATGTAGTCAACTGAAATAGAAGTTCACAAAACCTGACCCTCTGAAACACTGATTTTCATAATGTGGGTCCTTTTCATTTGTGGGTTGTGACCAGCATTTTAAAAATCTAAAGTAGAAGACAAAATATCACAGTGTATCATGCACGGTATTGTTTTGTGAAATGTTTATTCCAGTTATGTGTGTATATGTATGTGTATACAGCTCATGATACAAAATGTTATTTCTTTCTGTAGATCAAGGTCAAGTTTCAAAGTTACTGGCCTGGAGGAAACTTGGTGCCTCTTAGGAGGCAGACTTTCATGGGAGTTGTTTTTAAAATTGAGATATAATTCCCTGAAGCCTTCTTAAAACCAAACAACAGTTTAGCTTAACTAGTAAAAAAGAAGTCTGCCTCGAGCATTATGCTCTTATAAGAACCAGCTATATGTGATCAATGTGACAACAACTCGAAAAATTAGATAGGAACCTTAGGGGGCAGTGACTTTATGTTAATAATGGGGGAGGAACAACTCAGAAAAGGAGGTTGAGGATGGTTGCACAACGCAAAGACTATAATTAATGTCATTGAATTGTGCATGTAGAAACAGTGTAATTGGTGTATGTTTTGCTGTGTATATTCTCTAACAACAAAATTTTAAAAAACTGAGATAAAAATTCACACACCATAAAATTTGCCCTTTTAAAATGTACGATTCTACGGTTTTTAGTATATTCAGAGTTGTGCACACATCACATCTATCTCAGAATGTTTTCATCACCCCAAAAAGAAACCCCACACCTATTAGCAGTCACTCCCCATTACCCCTTAGTCCATCCCCTAGCAATCACTAATCTACTTTCTGTCTCAATGGATTTGCCTGTTCTGAACATTTCATAAAACTGGAATCATATAACAATGTGGCCTTTTGCGTCTGACTTCTTTCACTTAGCATATTGTTTTAAAGGTTCGTCCATGTTGTAGCAAGTATTAGTATTTTGTTTTTTATGGTTGAATAATATTCCGTTTATGGATATGTCACGTTTTGTTTATCCATTTATCAGCTGATGAACATTTGGGTTTTTTTTTTCTTCTACTTTTTGGCTATTATGAATAATGCTGACTCCCAGGGAGCTCTTTAACAGCTACTACTGATTAAAGAGCTGACCCATACAGAGACTGTGTCTATGATCAAGCAGGAGGTTCTTGGGGATTTCTGCCCTTATCCCTCACCAAAGTATCCTCAATCCAGAAGTAAGAGAAGTACCTAGAACCATATGGTCCTTGATAGCTTACACATACCTTCATGAGCTGGTTTGCCTCTCATCTTCTACCACTCACTGTGTCAGCCACTCTCTATGCAACAATACCCATACCCACCTCCTGACGCATTAGCACCTGCTCATCCTTCAGGTCTTGGGCATCACTTCCTCCCAGAAGCTCCCCATCTCCTCACAGTCTGGGTTAAGTACCTCTATGCTTCTACAACTCCTGGCACTTACCACTATCTTAGGACGTACCACAACATAATTTAATTGATTGATTGTCTATCTGGTCTATTGGACTGTGAGTTCCTAGAAACTAGAATTGAGTCTGGTTCATTGATGTATACCCAGCACCTTATGCTTAGCATTCCATACTTGCTCAATACATGTATTTTGGATAAATGATGGTCCCCAATTTGACAGTTTCCTATTAGTCTATGGCATAGACTCTATACACTGGAACCTTCAAGGAAAGGCCACATGTGCTCTGTTTCTCCTGTCCACAATAATCTGTGAGATAGAGGGTCTAACAACTAGCACAAATCGGAGTTTGGAGACATGCTACTCTTGGGCACAGAGACCAACGTACAGCAGAACAAAGTGGTGGTTGAAGGCTCTGGCCTTGGGGTCAGGCAGACTTGGATTAGAATCACAGCTTTTCTATTTACTAATTGTGTGACTATGGGCAATTTGCTTGAACCTCAGTTTCTGGACTTACAAAATGGGATTGAGTGAGGTTAAAGTGAGGTTAAAAAGATTTTATGAGGTAATGTATGTAAAACCCTTAGTTTACAATATAGCTCCTTGTGGCTTTTTACCATAAGGAGTCCTGGTGGTGCAACAGGTAATCAATCATTCAAGCTGCCAACCAGCAGTTCTGCTGGAGAAAGACCTGGTGATCTGCTTCTGGTGATCTGCTCCCATAAAGATTACAGCCTAGAAAACCCTATGGGGAAGTCCTACTCTGTCACATGGGGTCACTATGAGTCAAAATCAACTTGATGGCACATCAACAAAAAAAGAAAGAAAGAAAAAAAACTACAGAGTGCTAATAAGCTTCCTCCACTCTTCTTCTGTTCTGCTTTTGTACCTTCTACTAAGTCCACCACTGCCAGGCCTAGTCTCTGATGAGAAATGTCAGAAAATGGCCTTTTGACAGAGGTCCCACTGCAACAGCTGGAAAGGGGGGAAGGTTGAAACACCTCCAAGTGCCACGCTCTCAAGAAGAGAAAAACACCCTTCTGACAGATTCACCCTTCTAACAGATTCATCTCTTATGAAACACCCAGTTTTAAAATCTTTCTGCAAACAAAGAGCACCACAGAGTCCCTTACAGCCTCTCCCCTAGCTTGTCCAGGACAATGTCACCAGCAGACAGCTGCTTGCGCCTCAGCCGCTCCTTTAGGTCTGGGAAGGCCCGAAGTGACCGCACATCCTCAAATCGCACATTCTGGGCCGCCTGCAGCTGCTCTGCCAGGTTGCTGAGGGAGGCCAGGAGGGGCTGGCAGTCGCTCAGCGTGCTCCGCCACAGGCCCTGCTGTTCCTCCACCACCGGAAAGCACTTCTGCAGGGCCTCCTGCACAGCAAGCAAAGGCCGGTCTTGAGTCATCTTCTGTGAAAATAAACAGAAACAGACAAAAACACGTTAGGTCCCAAGTCGGTAGCGGACGTACTGGGAGTTATGTCCGTTCTCATGTTAGGTCAGGTTCTCAGCCTCCACCCTCAAACCAGAGTTTCCTCAGGTAAGGCTGTCTATTCCTTCAGGCAGGAGTTCCTGTCGCGAGGTGTCGTCTTACCTCCAGAAGAGGATCTCTGAAGGAAGGGCCCTTGTTTGCCACCTCACGAAGGGTCCAGGGATAGGGCGGTCTCCTATTTCAGACTGCGAATTCCCGGGACCGAGGCTGTGTCTCCCCCCTCCAGACTCGTGCTCCTGGAGCCAGAATCTTGTCTCCCCTTCATGCGGCTGCCCACCGCTTCCCCTAAATCAGAGGAGAGATTTTTGGTTTTTGAAACGAAACCCTGAGGACACGCTGGTGTCTCTGCGCATGCCCCCAAGCGCTCCCTC